GTACTGGAGAAGCCATTATTTAGGTATTTGCGTGTTGGTTTAAAGTCAAATGGACATACACAAGATGTAATAATTAACCTCTATGGAGAATGGTCAGGAACCTTAATGGTGCTGTGGGGTTTGTGGTACCGTCTTGAAGTGAGCAGCCAAACCCATATCCCACCACACACTGGGCTCTTCCGCAGAACCCTCTGGGCACAGACTCTTCTTGTCCCCCTTTACAGATGAGGAAACTGAGGCACAGGAATTCCTACCTAACTCACCTGAGGTCACACAGTCAGCTAGTGACTTAAACCCAGACAAGTGTTCTTTCTGGCTGATAACCGGACTACAGCATCCCGGTTCCGCTTTCGTTTAGGTTCCAATTGACCAGTTAGCTTTCTTTCACCCTCAAGGTTCACTTTTAGCTACTAAGATTCGGGACAATAAAATTGCAAAGATAAGAATCCCTGCCAACTCTTCTTTTAGAAACGAATTCTTTAGATAGATATTGATGATTCAGACTAAGTTTTTCAAAACAAGAAAAAAGGCTAGCCATTTAGAATGGAAATCGCATTGCTCTGGAATCTTTCAGAAAAGAGCCTTGGCTGTCAGTTCTGAGCAACAACAACATCCTTCCTCTGAAGCACGCAGAGTGAAGGCAGCGCACAGCTGGCAGTAACGTCAGCAAGCTGCACAATTACTTTGCTGCCATCTTACAAAGCAGGCCCTTGGCTGCCCAGTCGGTTCTGACCCTGCACAAGCTCACAGGACGGAGTAGAGCGGCCCAGGGCGTTGCCCACTCTGCAACCTCACAGAACGCATCCCTGGCACTGCGGAGGGTACATGAGGATGCTCACAGAACGGCCGCGGTTTGCGCCCACCAGCCTCTCAGCATGAAAGTTCGAGCCGGTGTGCTTCGGTCACGATTTACAGTTCTCTGTCCCACCGGGTTCCTGCGAGGCTGAACGAACCTGCCTGCTGTGGGCTTGTTTTTGTGGTGGTTCTGAAACCTTTGTGGAAGGACACCGTTACATCTTTCTCCGCGGGAGCATCTGCTGAGTTCACACACCTGGCCCTCCTCCTAAATGCTTACCCACCCTGACACCTGGCTCCTCTGCTGCCATCTCGGGACCCAAAGGAAGATGTCAGATAGTATGCTGCCATCTCGTGACCAAAGTTAAAATGACATGCAAGCATGATTGGGCCTTCTTGGCATTTCCCTAAGGACTGCCCCCAATAAAATGATTTAAAATAAAAAATAAATAAATATGACATAATTGGAAACGTTTAAGGGATCTAATATCAGCTTCCAAAAAATTAAATTTCCAATGAGCAGCCTCTTACAGAATGAATAAAAATGCAGTGTGTAGTGAAAATAACAAAACTCTGTTTTCGTCATGCTGGTCCTGATGACGACCCCATCCACGTGCGTCAGATTAAACTGTACTTCCTAGGCTTTGGGATGCCGGGTACCCTGGGAAGCAGATCATCAGGCCTGTTTGCGGAGATGCCTCTCGCAAGCACTTAACCATTTGCACTACTTTAGGAGGAATTTTTTCTTTAAAGCTTGCTTTGCTCACAACATATTTTGCTCATGTTCGACGCTCCTCTAATATCAAACAATATAGCATTAATATCAAACAATATAGGATTAGGAGAGAAAACCAGAATGTATTACAATGTTTGTATGTGATTCGGAAATAGCTTTGGGCTATATGTGTTTCTTTTAGACACAGTTTTTTTGTGCCAGTTCGTATTTGAATAACTGGAATAATCTTTTTCTTCACATACAGCCAAGCTTGCTCATAACCGATCAATTCCAACCCTGCGTGGTCAATTACATAAAGGATTACAGCTAGACACTGAGGCCTTACATTTTGCATGTCCTAATAGAATACGCCCCATTCGTCCATATCACTATTTGCTGGTGATATGTGTTTGAAAACTTTGTATCAGGGAGGGGGAAAAATGAGCTGATACCAAGGGCTCAAGTAGAAAGCAAATGTTTTGAGAATGATGAGGGAAACAGATGTACAAAAGTGCTTGACACAGTGAATGTATGAATGGATTGTGATAAGAGTTGTATGAGCCCAAATAAAATGATTTTTTTTTAAAAAAGAGAAAACTTTGTATCAGTAATATCCATAATTATTGATCTTTTTTATACATTCATATATTCTGTCTCCCCACTAAATGGACAGGGGTTATATTTGTACCCTCAAGCTTTTGGTAAATTATTGTTGATGGTCCATAAGCCTTTAGGGAATACTTTATTCGATTATGCTGTTATATGCTATATCACATATTAGACTCTGTAAATCAGATTAGAAATGTTCCTTGGGAACCAATCACAATGATCAATGTATAACCCCACACCGCAACCCCACCCAGATTGACATACAACAGAAACATGGGTGAAAGGAGACAGCAGATAGTGTAAGATATGAAAATAAATTATAATTTATCAAGGGCTCATGTAGAAAAAAAGTGTTTTGAAAAGGATGATGGCAGCATATGTACCAATATGCTTGACACAATGGATGTATGGATTGTTATAAGAGCTGTAAGAACCCTGTGTTAGCCCAGGTAGACAAGAGAAACAAATTCATAGACACTCACATGTGTATAAGAAAGGGTTTTATGTACACGAGCAATTGAGTATTGAGAAAACATCCCATCCCAGTCTAGACCAAGTCCATAAGTCTGATTTTAGCCCACATATCTGATTCCAATCTATAAAGTCCTCTTCAGACTCAAGAAACACATGCAATGATGCTGAATGCAGGAAGATCCCAAGCCAGTGGGTGGGAAGTCTGGTGGATCCAGTGGCATTGTCAGCATCTCAGTACTTCAGGGGTCTCCACGTGGCTCCTCCAGCTCAGGGCACTAGCATAGTTCCATGCGTCTTATCAGCTGCAATATCTCCCAGGGAGTGAGCCATTTTGACCTTCTGTCAACCATTTTCTCTAAGCAGCTCTGAGAAATTCAAGGGGCAGTTTCTACCCCTAAGCTCAAAATATACTTTAACAACAATGATTTTCCATTGCAAACAGGAATAACCAAAGGCAACCACCAAACAAAATAATCAAAACTTTAACTTCCCATGTTCTTTCCAGTAAACTTCTTGGACATATGAGTATCTCTATGAATTTGCTTCTCTAGTCATCCCAGGCTAGCACACGCCCCCAGTAAAATGATTTAAAGAAATAAATGTTCCTTGGTTTCTGAGATTACTTGCATCTTTCTCCCCTGGAGTGGTTTCTGGGTTTGAACTGCTGACGTTGTGGTTAGCAGCCCAATGCATACCCACTGTACCACCATGCAGATGAGATAAATTCACAGCAATAGCTACCTAGATATCATCTTAGAGACTGTTCTTCATAGTATGACCCACTTAATTTAAATTATTTTGTGAACTATTTAACATTTTTTAATCCCACATCCAGAAAAACAAAGCTGGCAGTGCTATCTGCTAGCCTTTTCTCCTCAGCAACTCCTCGCCAGGTTTCTGTTGTACGATGCCTGTGCCTAAAATTCAGTTGTTTGGAATTCTGTGCAGGATCAGGAAAATGTTCCTCTGCAGAATAAGAATGTAGATGTGGCTTCAATGTCTACCCCAAAAGCCCACTTCCCAAGGAAATCTAAACACAATTCAAACAAACAAACTAGTACTACTGCTAACCGTGTAGTGTGTTGTCCAAGAAAGACAATGAGTATTTTTCCAGGATTGATATATGGTCAAGCAATAAGTTACTCACCAAATACTTATTGCATGCTTATGAAACACCCAACACAGTACCGGCAAAGAGGTAGATGTCAGTTTACACGTCTTGTATCCATCCATGCCTCATGGTAGTCTGGTCCAGAGAGATGGCATGCTTCCTCTGGGCAGACCAGTAACAGGCTTGTTCCGGCCTGTTGTCTTAAACAGTAATGAGTCTGCATGACACATGGGGTTTGTACTCAACTGCTAATTGAAAAGTCGGTGGTTCAAACCCACCCAGTGGCCCCTTGGAAGAAAGGTCTGGTGAACTGTTTCTATAAGGATAAGAGCTAAGAACTAACTCCCTGTGGAGCAATGGTGCTTTGTAACACCTGGGATCACCATGAGTTGGAATCCAATGGCAGCCAGGTTTGGGATAATAGCCGTTAAGTTCTACGGTCTTCCTTCACACCCAGTGTATGTCAGCTACCTGTTTACAGTGCTCGAACATTGCTAAGTAAGTGCCCTGAGAGAATCCGCTTGTATATTACCTCTAATGACGAGCGCTCCACACCTCCAAATTTCAAGGGACTTAATTAACACATCCAGTTCGCACTGACCAACCTGGCTTGACTTCACCAAAGTGGTAGTCTATTAAATAATGGCGGCCTCACAGGACTCTGGCGGATGACTTGACTTCCGGCTTGTCAGGCCTCTCCTGGCCCTAGACCATTCTCAGTCCTTCAGGCACGGAATGTACTGTTGGCAGTTTCTAAAAGGCAGCTAATAAGGATGAGAGAAAGCGCCTATCAAAGCTACCTACTGCAAGAGAGAGGGACTCTTCAGTGGCTTTATGCCTAAAGACATTCAGTGTGGACCGTTCAAACGGTTGTATTTTTACATGGCATCGTCTCACGGCACATGATAAGGGCTGTGGGGTGGAAACGGCACAATGTCCCTCTGCGCGGATCTGAAGCCCAGAACTCCGAGCCCACTGCAAACTGCAAGTCCACGTTGGAGAGTCGCACCTTCCTCAAATTCTCTGCAGTGCCCTCTCTGAACATGGCATTTCATCGAGGACTGGGCAGCAGTTTGCAATTTTAACATGAAATGGCCCATTTTGGAGCAATGTTTTTTTGGAGTCACTTCAAAACACCCCTGCGTTCGCCTCTCTCTGAGGTGTGGCAGCCCATCAAGCTGAGCCCTTAACTCCAACACAAACTGACCGCATTTGCCATTCTTGGTGGGCCTCCGTTCTTTTTGTTGGTCATCTGTAACCCCTTGTTGTTACAAAGACATAAACACACCACACAACTGTTAGCAATCGTGTCTTTATTGGCTCGGGTGCTTTGACTCGCAGTGAGTTGTTAACTCCTGCGTGAGGGACAGGCGTCAGTAATTCTGCCTCAAATTAGAAGGCACTCCGAGGCAGTTTTTGGCTTCGTAGGCATGCAAAGACAGGAGTAGTAATAGTAAAAATACAGTAAAAATAAATGGCCCTCCTTCAGGTAAAGGAAAATGGTAACCCACCTTTATGGAAAAGAAACTCAAATGCTAGATTCAAATTTTTGAACACCTGGTCTTTCTGTGTTTCTCTTTCCTGGATGGTCAAAATAAGGAATTCTTAGTCGTAGCTAACATTTTAATAAAGGATAGGCTGGACTTGATTTTGTCTTTAATGAAGAGCTACACTGCGTTAACATCTCGGTTCTCGGTGTCCATGTTAATTTTAGCTTCTGAAAGATGTTCGGTAAGATCTTCAGGATATGTCTACTATTAAGTAAGTGCAGGATTACACATTATTTCCATTAAGATAGGCAACTCGTGATTCCTCAATGGAAGCTCTGTGAAATTTAAGATCTCACAAATTGTAACCAATCACCATTTTTCTTTTCTGTTTCTTTCCTTCCTTCCTCCTGATCGGTTTCTCCTTCTCTGAGATGACTAGAAATCTACTGCTACCGGGAGGGTGGTTTTCACAAAAGGTCAGATGTGGAATCCATGCTTTCGCAGGAGATCTTGTCCAGAGTGACCCATCTCTTGGTGACTGCGTCTCTCACGTTCATCGCTCCGTGTGGGGAATCCCAGTAGACTGAGTCAGGAGCACCAGCAGGAAACCAGGAGCCACGTGTTTGCATTGCAGCTTTCCTTTCCTGAAGAGGGCACGTGGGAGCAGCCTCATTTGAAGGAGGCTCTCACCACCCTGCCCTTGATGGGCTGTGGAGGGCGCCAGTTCCCCACCAGGGGCACCGGAGGCTCATTCTCGGCGCTGGAGTACATGCTCCGCAGCTTGGCCATCTGCAAGGGTAGAGGCACAGCGTCAGCATGACCTTCAGACACTCAGACCAGAGACACCTTTCAAGGGCCCTGCTGATGCAGTGGCTGTTAGGGTCAGGTCTGCACAAAGGCACCGTGTATCGAGGGCGTGACGGGTACAGATCATGCCCTGCGGGCCCCTGGAGGTGAAGGGGAGTGGGCACAGTGAGAGGTTTCTATTGGCCATTGCACTTGGACTACAGCTTTAACCAGCTATGGGGCCAGCTCTACTCTGTCCTAGAGGGTCACTGTGAGTCAGAATCGAAGGCTATTGGTTTTTGGTTTTCTTTGGTTTACATACACTACACTGTGAAAAGTTAGAAATGGCTGGGGTTTTTTGTTTTCGTTTTTTCAAATAAGGCAAGCAAGCTACAAAACTTGACCTCCAGTGCCCTGTCAGAATCACGTGGCTCCCAGGCTCTCGGGGTGACAAACATTTTCTTTATTTGTAAGACCCCTTTCTTCACTTTACACAGAATCACCTCGCCCTCAGGTCAAACCGTCCCTCCCCCACCCCAGATTCCGAAGTGACTGTTTTTGCCCGCCCTGGGCTTTATGTGGGAGGAGGTGACAGTATTTGAACTTCGGGCAAATCATAAGAGTAGCAAGCCTTTCCGTGTACAGGTGAATGGAGTCTTTTTTTTTTGGGTTCAGCGCATGCACACACACAAACAGAGTCCTCCTACATTTCGAATTTTCAAGGCGGTCAACCTCATAGAAATTCAGGAAATTCCCATGCGTCAACGTTTCATTTCGGGGTTGAAACGTTGTTTGGGGGCTTTAGTCAGTCTTCTTTCCGAGATATTTGAATCCGTGAAAGAGAAGGTTGAATCGGATCTTTTGACCCTTGAGTGCACTCCTGGCAGAAAAAGCGAACGTGACTGCCCAGGGCAGGGGCTGGGGCTCAGTGGTCATCTCACTATGCCAAGAGATGTTCATCATCTCGACTGGGAGTCACTGTGCTGCCGCTGACTTTCGTCCCTTCTCCTCCATGACCCTCTCTACTTAGTTTCTCCCAAACAGCCTTTCCTTGAGGATGACCAAGAAGGCAGAGAGTGGACAGATGGAGTTAGATTCTCACTTGCTGGCTGTGCGATCAGCAGTAAAGTACCTGACTCTTCTGAGCCTTGGCTCATCTGTAAAACTGGCAAAATGATCTACACCTCACAAGGATGTTAAGTGTCTTCCAGTTGGCATCTTTCTCCTCTCCAGGGTTGCATTTCAATTCCTGTCTCCTAATTAAACCCAAAGCCAAACAAAACAACCCCACATGCATTGCTGTCCAGTCCATTTCCACCTTGGATCTCACATTCTCAAACTCACTGTCATTGAGTGGATTCTAACTCACAGTGACAGAGTAGAATAGTGACCCTATAGGACAGAGTGACCCTAGTGACATAGTAGCCCTAGAGGACAGAGTAGAACTGGCCTCTGTGGGTTTCCTAGATTGTAACTCTTTATGGGAGTAGAAAGCCTCATGTTTCTCCCATGGATCCATTGGTGGTTTTGAACTGGTGAGCTTGTGGCTAGCAGCCCAGTTCATAACCCAGTTCATAACTCACTATAGCATAAGGGCTCCTCATTTCCTAACTCACTCACTCACTCACTCACTCACTCACTCAGTGCCATCAAGTGCAAGCCTATAGGACAGGGCAGAGCTACCCCTGTGGGTGTCTGAGACTCTCACTGTTTGAGGGAGTAGAAGTCCCCATCTTTCTCCCACAGAGAATCTAATGTTTTATAACTGCTGGCCTTACGGATCACAGCCCAACGTGTAACCACTACACCACCAGGTCTCCTCAACTTCAAAGTAGGACCCGGTGTTGGGAGCGACTCCAAACTCCCAAAGACCTGCATTGTCATGGAAGTGCCTCAATGTTTGTAGAGTAGATGCCTGGTCCTCATTGAATTTGACAGCCATTGCGCTTCTCCTGGTACCTTCTGGAAGTCAAGTTTTAGAAGATGGAGCAGATTGATGGCAGTTCACTAGGGCAAGGCTAGTTATGGCATCTCTAGTTGTATGGCCATTCCGTCAGCCTCCACTTGCTGTCTGACTGCACCAGAGGACACAAGTCTGCCTGTTCCTAAGCCACCATGACTGCTGCTTACCTGGTCGGAGCTCACAGTGATGGGCTCCTTCAGCAGGATCCACACAATGCACTCCTCGCACGGCGGCGTGGTGAAGGAGCCATGGTAGCTCCAGTAGTCCCGGCAGGTGGGGAAGAGGCAGGACGGGTCAAAGGGTGTGAAGGGTGCCTCCTTGCCCTAAGAGAAAAGGGACGTTGTTGGCGAGGTCAACAGTAGTCCACCCTATGGAGGCAGCTCACAGTGGTGAGCAAGGATTTCAAATGCAATTGAGGATGGAGAACTTTTGGTAAAATCTGTGCCTTTGGGAAAGAAGGAACTGATGGGGGAGTGAGGGCAAATTGCATATGATGACTTTATCTGATGCATTCATTAAAATATGTTATTCCTTTTTAAAACTATCAGTCTACATATAATTCTAACACTTTTTCAAAGTAGACTGTGCCAGACTCATTTCATGAGTTACTCCACTGTTTTTTGGTTTTTTAAAAATCATTTTATTGGGGGCTCTTACCGCTCTCATCACAATCCACCCAGCCATCCATTGTGTCAGGCACATTTGTACATATGTTGCCATCATCATTCTCAGAACATTTTCTTTGTACTTGAGCCCTTGGTATCACCTCATTTTTTTCTCCCTCCCTCATGAACCCTTAATAATTTATATTCTTTATGAATATATTCATATACATATATCTATGAATATGGTAGAACATACAGGGTGAAAAGTTATGTAAATATCTTAGCCATAACCAAAAGCCTTGAGAGAATGAGTCACTGGACCTGGGGAAACACCAAGGTTAATTGGTCATTGAAAACAGGCTTCCCCTTCCTGTTTTGCTGAGGAAAAGCTCGGTTCTAAAAGCTTGTAAGTCATCATCTACAGTGACCTATTGGTCATTTCCCATCCAGAACAAAGAAAAATTGTGCAAGTCAGAGGCTCAGAAGCCATGATTAGCCCAATGGACAGGCTCCATGACCCAACTAGAAAATGACCTGGTGCCTGGCTACCACTACCAACTGCTCTGAAAGGGATCATATCTGGAGGTCCTGGATACAGTGGGAGAGAAATGTGGATCAAAACAAAATCACAAAGCAAAATAAAAGCCTGGCTTACTGATTGGAGAAAGGCTGGTGGAAGCCTGTGGGTTTGAATCAAACTCAACCCTCCCCACTCCCGGTGGTTCCATTTTCAGCCAAACCACGGAGGGTCTTCAGGGGAACAATAACACTAGGAAGCCATACTCTTTAGAATAATCAACCATTTGGGACCACAAGAGCAGTGTTTCTCCAAGGACAAAGCACAGGAGGAGGCTTGGAAACAGGAAACTCAGAGAGAGAATGATGTTTACTGTGGGGATTGCAATCAATTCAGTGAAACAAGATACATATGGAAACCTTCACTCAGCTAAATTGTATACACACACACACACACATATATAGTTATATATGTGAAAAATATGAGGCTTTCTACTCCTATAAAGAGTTACAATCTCAAACTCACAGGAGCAATTCTATGCTGCCCGGTAAGGTCACTATGAGTTAGAATCTACTCAATGGCAGTGAGTGAGATGTTATATAAGTTATCTATTAGAGTTAGAGAGAGGATCTCATTTGTATTAAGTATAGTATTGGGAATATTTACTTTCTCTGGCCATATTAGTTAATAGTATTTGATCGCATTAGTCCCAAAAGACAATTAAAATGTATCTGTTCATAGGAAAAGTTGGCTCCTAGGACGATGTAGCCCTGCCATCGCTGTCAGGTGAGTGATGGGCTGCTAACCCCAAGCTTGATGGTTTCACCCCCCAGCTGCTCTGCAGTAGAAAGCTGAGG